CATTTAAAGGAAACCATTGAGGATTTAAAGAAAGAAAATGATGCTCTAACTGAGAAAATTGAAAATGTAAAGCATGAGAGAGATGAATTGTTGGTAGTAATTGTGGATCTAAAAGAAACAATTGAGGAATTAAATAGGGAAAACAGTTCTGGGAACACCCAAAAGGTAAAGGAAGTTACAAGTGAGGCACACCTTAAGCTTGAAAATGAGCTCAAAATGGTGAAATATAGTCTATGTGCTGAACTTGAAAGAAACAGACAACTTCAGGAAGATCTAGGCAGAGTTAAAAATGACCTAAAAAATCTCTAAAGTGGACCTGGTCCTCTGATGCAATCAATGCCATATATAATAATAATGAGGGGAACAGGTAGGGAATCGGGTTCCAAAAGGAAAAGACTCGCTACCATCTACATAGCAAGTACATTATTATCCTTGATAACTAGTTTTGCACTCACTGTGGTAACACTGGGCACTTTAAAGAAACTTGTAAAGCTAGATTTCAGCCTTAACAGAAAAACATAGTTTTTGTTGAACTACTAACTATTGCTAAAGACCTAGCCCCTCCAATAAAAAACGTGTGATGCCTGCTTGGACAAGAAGAAGTTTAATTCACCATTTTCCTCACTACAAGGGACCCAAACTTGCTCGGGTTCCTAAGTTTAATCCTTGATTTCCTTGTGCATGGAACAGCGAAAGGAAGCAACCAAAGATGGTATATAGGTAGTGGCCGCTCTAAGTATATGACTGGAAGCACTGATGATTTCCTCTCACTCAAAGCCCTACAAGGAGGGAGTATGTCCTTTGGCAATGGTAAAAAGGGATACATTCTGGGAATAGGAAGAGTTGGGAAGACATTCACTCATTCAATTAAGAATGTGTAGTATGTGAATGGCTTGAAATATAACCTATTGAGTGTCTCTCAAATTTATGACAAAGGAAACAAAGTGGTATTCTTATCAAACACTTGCACTATCACCAATCTTGTAACTGGTGAAGTGGTTCTGATGGCAAAAAGATTCAAAAATATCTATGTTGCTTATTTTGAGTTTGAATAATGGGGATCTTACATGTTTGAGTGTTGTTGATGATGATGTTGAGTTGTGGTACAGAAGATTGGGACATGCAAGTTTTTCATTGCTAAACAAGTTGGTCAAGAAGTACCTGGTTCGTGGGCTACCTAAGTCAAGGTTCAAGGATAACAAAGAGTGTGATTCATATGTAAGAGGAAAGCAAGTCAGGTCCTTCTTCAAGCCCAAAAAGGAAGTAAGCACCTCAAAGCCACTTGATCTCCTCCATATGGATTTGTGTGGACCTATAAGGTGCCAAGTAGAGTAGGAAAGAAGTATATTTTCGTCATAGTTGATGACTATTCTAGATTCACATGGACCTTGTTCCTTAGAATCAAGGATGAAACTTTTCCAATTTTTGCTGACTGTGTGAAGCAGACTCAAGTGAAGATAAGCCATAATATTGTGAGTATAAGATCTGATCATGGCATAGAGTTCGATAATGCAAAATTTGACGAATTCTATGCTGAAAATGGTATAAGTCACATTTTTCAGCTCATAGGACACCCCAACAAAATAGTGGTGTGGAGAGGAAAAATATGACTCTTGAAGACATGGCAAGGACTATGCTGATTGACAGCGGTATTGCAAAAGGTTTTTGGGCGGAGGCAGTTAACACTACTTGTTATATGGTAAACAGGTGCATGATCAGGTCCCTCTTAAACAAAATCTCATGTGAATTGTTGAACGGGAGGAAACCCAAGCTAGCTCACCTGAGAATGTCTGGCTGCAAATATTTCATTCTGAATAGTTGTAAGGAAGCGACAAAAATATTTGATGCCAAGAGTGATGAAGGAACCTTTCTTGGATATTCCTCACAAAGCAAAGGATACAAGATCTACAAAAAAAGGACTCAATGTATTGAAGAAAGCATACATGTGATCTTTGATGAATCACACCACTTATGTGGGAAAGATTCACATGATAAGATTGATCAAGATGGAGTGCAATTAAAGTTCCTGGAGAAGTTATTGATATGACAAATGGAAAGGCTGACTTTATGAGTCAAGTCAAGGAATCCAACGAAGAAGATGCAGCAGAATCTCCTGTTAATACAGAAGAAACTGGTTCCTCCATCACAACAACTGAAGTACAAAACAGAGTCAGTGATGTTGTGCAAGGAACTGCTGACGCCGAGCAGAGAAGTGGCACTCACCCCTCTATTGATGCTAACAATGGATCCCATTCAGAGGAACCTGGATCTTCTCACAATGAGATTCAGGTGTCTAACTGGAAGCACAAAAGTTCACATCCTCTCCAAAATGTGATTACTCCTCTTGATTCAGGGATTCAAACCAGATCAAACACAAGAAGCTCACTTGCCTTCTCAGCTTTACTTTCTCAAATTGAGCCCCAAAATATCAAGGAAGCATTGAAAGATGCTGATTGGATTACTGCTATGCAAGATGAACTCCATCAATTTGAGAGGAATAGTGTATGACACCTGGTTCCTCGTCCCTCGGACAGAACTATTATAGGAACCATGCGGGTGTTTAGAAACATGCTTGATAAGTTTGGGAACACAACAAGGAACAAAGCCGGGTTAGTAGTTCAAGGCTATAACCAAGAAGAAGGTATTGACAATGATGAGACTTTTGCTCCAGTTGCTCGAATGGAAGCCATCAGAATTCTTATTGCCTTTGTATCTCATGTGGAATTCAAATTGTTCCAAATGGATGTCACGAGTACATTTTTGAATGCGTATTTAATCTTGAACCATTGCACCACACCTCAGTTCTTGTCAAGAGGGTTCATCGTTTATTATTTAACTTTATTTTGGTGCTTGAAAAAAAAAGTTTACATATAAAATAGTATAATTTTTTTACAAAGCGGGTTCAACTGAACCCGCTTGAACCAATGTGGGTCCGCCCCTGCTCCCAATATTGAAGATTGAGAACATTAAACCTTAGTGTAAGGAATGACGAAAAATGACAATATATTGGATGGAGTGGAAGAAAAAAGATTGAGGAAAAAAACTAAGAGGGCTCAAACAAGATGATTCAATATACATTTACGTTTTGTTATAGGTGCTGAATTTTTCTGCAAAAATCTTAATAGAATAACCGTCTGAACTTGCACCTAAAATTAATTATCTAGCATATGCAGATAACATGGTAATTTTCTCACAGTCCACCTCATTAGAGGTGTACTGGAAAAATTTACGATTGTCTCTGATGAGAAGGTGAACGCATATAAAAGCTCCTTCTACGGGAATCTTAAGGTAAATGTAGGAATATGCACAAGATTGAGCAGGTTGTTCACCTTTTCTCCAGAGGATTTTCACTAGAAGTACCTTGGATGCCCAATTTATGTTGAGAGGAAAGGATAAACTACTTTATGCCTTTGATGCAGGGAATTCCAAACAACCCAAGTCAAGGAGCTTATGGAAAAGCTTTTCACAAGCTGTAACTGGGATCAACATAAACTAATTAAGGTCTTTGCTCCTTGATATCATCACAGATTGTGGACATAAACTACAGATGGACAAAGTCACTTCTTCTGCCAGAGGAGGAAGATTCACATATCTTATGAGTTATGGCTAAGCTTTCATGTCTCTCTTATCAAGGGAAGAAAGTAAAGTAACATACTTCTTAGCTAGCAAGGAGCTAAATGGCGCAATTTTACTCATCCAAGCTAAAATACTATTACCTCTCAGATGAAGGTTCTTCTTCAACAAAATAGATGACAAATTCCTAGTTTCAGATTCATCAACTCAATATACTAAGGTAAAAATGTAATATCCATGATGTAATTAATAAACTGCTTCATTTTCAGGAAATGAAATTTTAAAAAATAACAATAATGAGTTTATATTAAGGATATGCAGAGGTGATAGTGCATTACAAAGAAAACAATGAACAAACAAACTCACATAGTTGGACAGATAGGTACATGACCAATCTATCAAATAAAAAGTACCTTTGTTGTTCCAAGTTCTTCCATTGAACATCTATAAAGAGCATAAAATAAAAAACTTATTGTCCTTATACTATTAAAATACTAGCTGAGAAGCCTGTCGCGTAAATCTTCTTTGATGTTGACTTTAGATCCCTCTACTACTGATCACCATTATAAGGGCTCAAAGAGAGAAGCGAATCCCAGAAATCCTTATCATCGCCGTGCTGAAAAATTGTAAAGGCAAAGATAGTAAATTGCATTTTCAGAACATAATGCTCTATGATCAAACACAAGTACGTATATGAGCTAAAACTACCTCAAGTTCCGGATTCTGGTGAGTATGACAGAGCTGAGATGATGATCCTTCCTCTGCAGTAACACCTCGGTGATCTCCTTGCTACACCCATAGCAGTGCAATAAGATATCACAAAGTTCAAAGCGTACTATGAATACTGACAAGTATTTTTAACTATCAATTCCTAGGTCATATTGTATAAGTTTGATTTATGTAATTGGATAATCTTATTCGACATATTTATCCTTTCGTATGACCTAAGTCATTTCCCTAATTCAATAACGTAAGCAAACCAATCAATAGAAAATTAACAATCCATATTGTTTGAGAACCCTTTCACCCAAAAATGTTTAACGTCCATCTCCACTCTTAATTGTGGGGAGGGGAAGGGACTAACAGGGGAAAGAAAACAGAAAGTGAAGCAAAAAATGATAGTGTGCAAGAACTTGTTTAATTCGCTTAACACTGTAATGCAGAAGACTATAGCGGCTTGTAAGGAAAAATTCAACCTTAAATACATTAGTAAGTTGTATTATAGGAGGACAGATATTAATATCCGTCTAAAATACAAGGAAAATTGTCTAAACACATTAATACTTTAAACTTTTAGAGCTCAACTAGATGGCACGTATAAACAATTCGAAAAAGAGAAATGATGCAAACTTAATAAAATTTAACAAGATTAACACTAGCCTAATGCAAGTATGACAAAACATTTATGGTTAAAGACAGATAAAACTTTAACTTGCCTCTCCTGATGTATAATCAAGTGGCAATGGATAATAAGCTTCTTGGTCCTGATTGCTTGCATCGGTGAAGTTAAAAGTTGTCTCCCCCTGATCATTGCTGTTTTCCTGCATGTACACAGTTAAGTTTGTGCAGTAAAATTTACACTAAAGATAATCAAATACTCCCTCCGTTTCATATTAGATGAGGTACTTTCCTTTTTAGTCTGTTCCAAAATAAATGACACATTTTTAAATTTGGAAATAATTAAACTTTAAACTCTTTCATTTTACCCATTTACCCTTAATGAGAAGTTTTTATAGCAACACAAATGTTATGGCCCCACAAACTTTTTATCCTTTAAGTTTTTAAGACCACAAGTTTTAAAAGTTTTCTTCTTTTTTCTTAAACTTCGCGTCAAGTCAAACTACCTCATATAATATGAAACGGAGGGAGTAAATATTTTAGAAGGAATAAAACTTCTTGAACTTGAGAACTATATACCACATGAAAAGGTTGAACATTCAGTTGGCTGTAGAAAGTGCTTGTAAGATCACCAATTCGACTTGAATACGATGTAGCATTATTTTTATCGAACATAGAGACATCAAAATCTTGACCAAGCTTAGTACCACTTCCTCCTCCAGTCTCGACATTGTTTGGAAATCGAGTTAACTGCAGATTGCTAGACCGCATGACCACTTCAGATTGCTTTTCTCCCTGATTAACGCGGTTTGCTCCCTGATTAACGCGGTTTGCTTCCTGATTAGGATAACTAGACCACATGGCTGCAGATTGCTTTTCTCCTTCACCATCTTGACCAGGTTTAGTACCACTTCCTCCTCCAGCCTCGAAATTGTTTGGAAATCGAGTTAACTGCACGCGGTTAGCTCCTTGATTGAAATAACTAGACCACATGGCCGCAGATTGCTTTTCTCCTTCACAATCTTGACCAAGTATAGTACCACTTCCTCCTCCAGTCTCTACATTGTTTGGTAGTCGGGTTAACTGCATACGATTAGCTCCCTGACTGATATAACTAGACCACATGGCTGCAGATTGCTTTTCTCCTTCATAATCTTGATCAGGTATAGTACCACTTCCTTCTCCAGTCTCGACATTGTTTGGTAATCGGGTTAACTGCATGTGGTTAGCTCCTTGATTGAAATAACTAGACCAACCTTGATCAAGTCTAGTACCAGTACTTCCTTCTCTAGTCTCAACATTGTTAGGTAATCGAGTTAACTGCGTACGGTTAGCTCCTTGATTAAGATAACTAGTCAACATGGCTGCAAGTTCCTTATCTCTTTCAAATCCAATCAGAGACGAATCCCTTTGAACCAAACTTTGATTTGACTCATGGCGTTCTCCAGCAGCAGAGCTGTTATGAAGGGATTTCAAATTTCTTGTAATAAGTTGATTCGCTGAAATTGCAGCGTTCAGGAGCTGAGTTGAAATATCCTCATGTATCAATGACCTTGTCTGATTCTTAGTTGCTTCTGCTATGGACAATTGGTTTGCATTACTAGACGTGATTTTACTTGAATCACCTTCGTTCAGAACCAACTTTGCTTTTCCATATCCTGGCAGAGTAACAGCTGGTGTAGCGCGTCGATTTGACAAAGATGAACTGCTGCGGTTTGAAGTCTCAGCCAATGAGTTGTTCTTGAGGAACGGCTGTTGCGATCCAGAATTTTCTTGAGGAAGTTGGCTGATTGTAGTTAGCCCTTTCGATCCAAAAGTTGATTGAGTAGCACTATTAGCTAAGTTTGTGTCCGCAGCTTGAACTCTGAAACTTTCTTCGGTGACTTTCCTCAAGAAAATACGATATTTCTGCAAATTGCACGCAATGGGTTTCTTAGCTCTAATAAAGAAAAATAATAATGAGGAAAGAACTATTAAATATTGATGCATTTCTGGTTTTGCAACTGATTGCCTTACGTCAACTTCTACATAAATTTATTCTGAATAGTTTTGATTAGGAGCTTCTAAAATGAGCATGAATCAATAAAACTATAACTTCCAAATACGAGGGCTTTAATTCAAGAAAATACTAAATTCTCTAACTATAAAAACCACGGGATGCAGCTTGAGTTCCATTTTAGAAAGTAACAATATCTTAATATTTTGAATATGGATAAAAGTTAATTTCTCCTTTCTATCATGTTGAAAAATTATGCATTTTCACAAGTCCAGTGCTAAAACCATGCTACCGAATTTCCTCTTTAGCAACATAGTAAAGTGAACCTGCAAATGACTGGCGACATTTTCTCTTGTTAGTCCTGGGACATCCATGACTTCAAGAATTGTCCTCGGATAAGCCCCTGCAACACAAAAGAAAAAAAAAAAAAAAAAAGACATT